TAGTGAGCCTTTTTCAGGGTATTCCCAAGATTTTTAAATCTTGCTTCCAAATATGACTGCTCAAAGCTTTGTAGTTTTTGAGATATGATGTTTCTTATGATTTTTTCCAAAATTTTCCAGAAAACTTAAAATTATTTTTTTTCTTCAAAGTTTGCAATTTCTAACCCTGTAGTTGGGGTCTGTCAGAGAAATCTCAGGGGTTGGAATCTTGCCTTTAAGAAGGCTGCTCAAATCTTTGTAGTTTTTAAGATATGACGTTTTTTGTTTTTTTCTTAAAAAAATTCAGATAACTTAAATTTGATTTTTTTTTAAATTTGAAATTCCTAGCCTTTAGTTGGCGACTGTCAAAACAGTCTCAGGAGTTGCGAATCTTGTCGTCAATTTGATTACTCAAGTTGTTGAAATTTTCGAGATATGAATTTTTTTTCTCAAAATTTCTCAATTTGAAATTCCCAACCCTGTAGTTGGGTTTGGTTTTGTGACAGTACTCTTATGAGTTGCAAATCTTGCGTTCAAATGCGACTGCTCTTTGTTTTGAGTTTACGCAATGTGAGGTTTCTTAGTTCATTTAAAAAATTTTCAAAGTTTATTTCTTAGTTCATTTAGAATAAAAAAATTTTATGATTTTTCAAAATTTGAATTAAAAAAGTTTGCAAAACTACCAACCCTGTAATTGGTTGCTGTCAGGGTACACTCAAAGGAAGCATATCTTATTTTCAATGTATGCGGTTTTTATGAATTGTTAAAAATTCGAAGCACCGTAGGTGCGCTACACGCTAGTTTTATTTTAACTCCCAGTGAATGTTGTCCAAAATCATCTTTGAAAACCTGAAATTGTGTTCAATTTTGTCCACTAGTGTATCTATCGGAGCAAGCTAGTAGTTTTCTCAAATTTTCAAAAATCTACCTTCAACAATTTTTGGCTCATCGAAGTTTTGCTTTTGCGTTTTGAATGTCGCCCAGTATGTTATTTAAACGTTAGTTTGCACCGAAGAAAGCTTGTGTAATACTTTGTTCACGCTCATTTATTTATTTCTGTGAAGAACATCAGAAGTCATTCTAAATAGGTTGTCGTAAATCGAGTTTCAGGAAAAAAAATTGAACGAGGAAAGAGCCAACCAGCTGTGCTGTTAACTTTGGTTGAGTCTGTCTGCTTTTCAGAAGAAAATGGCAAGAGTACCGAAGGAGTTCCTCGTAGAAGTAAATGCGCCTGAGTATTAAATTGATTTCAGTACTTTAATTTTTCTCTGTATGCCAAAGATGGTGCTCTTTTAGTATCCGAGCAAATTTGACGTAGAGAGGGAGGCCAATAATGCGCTGTCGTGCTACAAATCTCTTCAAGTTGTTGGTGAATTAATCGGTAAGTGCAGATTTTAACTACAGTGCTGATTTAATTAGCCAAATGAAACGAATGGAACCTGTAGCGTTTCACTCCAATGCATTTTACTTTGGCCAAAAATTGTTCCAGAAAAAATGGCTTAATTTTGACAAAAGTAATGATGCATTCTGTTTGGTGTATTTGGCTTACAATTCGTTTGTTTCGCATGGTTTAAAATTTTCATTAAATAAAATAAGATTAAAGCATACCAGCAGATTCATCAACTAGATATACAGCAATTTTTCCTTGATCAAAAATTTTCTTCCTTATCACCAAAGCTAAGCACAAGGCCCTTACGAGCTTACATCGACAGGAAACGAACCAACTATGACTGCAATTTTTCCTCTAGAAGTATGAACGGATCTGAGACCAAGAGTTAAGTTTAAATTGATAGATACCAAGTAAAAAATATGTACCAAGTAAAATGTAATGGTGTCAAAAAATGAGCTTATGCTTTTTTGGTTTTCTAACATTTTATGATCAAAAATTTAATAAATAAATTTGTTAAATTGGTATCTGTTTCTCATTTCATCAAATATGTGCGGCTTATTGGAGTATTTATACAATTGAGACTTGTCATTTATACAATTTTGTTCGCCTGTCATATTTTTGGAACAAGTTTTTTTGCTCTAAGAATTGCAAAAATCGAGCATTTATTTCTCGTTGTCTTTCAATTTGGAAAACAATTTCGCTTCTAGACAATTTTCCAAGTCGTTTAACTCATCCAAGTCCAAAGGTCTAGCTTTAGAAAAGTGTTCTTGTTTCTGAAAAAAAATTCGAATAACCATTCCAAATTGATAACGTTTTGCTCCTTTTCGCCTCTGTGTTAAAAGTGACCTCTTAATTGGAAATTTCACTGTAGCATTAGAAATTTGCGTAGCATCTGTTCTTTGCTTTATTTGAGGCTAGTGTTTGGTACCTATTAAGCGTCCATGTCTGAGTGGCTAGTATGTGAGACTCTTAATCTCTAGGTCGTAGGTTCGAATCTCAGACTTAGCCGAATTTTTACTACTTTGAGGCTTATTTCTAAATTTGCTTATTGCTCTTATAGAGCTGCTTGTTTTCGTGTTTTGGCTAGTATTTGCGAAGCCAAGTTTCGCCTCTGTGATTACTACTTTCCTCGAACATGTTGTGATTAGTGCGATCATCATACGAAAACTGTGTAGAGAAATGATTTAAACTTTTACTGGAGTTTGTATCCATCATTTTAGTTAAATTTGCCTTTCTTGTCTTCGGGAATGGTGCCTTACGCTTGTCTCTGTCTACATCCACTCCTGTTTCAATTTGTGTTTTTGACATTTTTCAGCTTTCTTGCTTTGAAGTTTTTTTGTTCATGGTTCCGCCGGCTGAAACAAATGGCCTAATTTCGATCTTTTCTTTGGTTTAATCTGATTGCATCAAAGTATTTTTTGTGGCAGTTCTTGATTCCAGTTTGTTTGAAAGAAATTTGAACTTTTTTCGAATATATTTGTTTCCATCTGAATTTTTTTCGGAATTATTATTTTTTCATCAGTTTCCTTCAATCTCCATCCAACATAGATTGCCTATTTCTCAAACTTTTATCAGGAGGGGGATGGTGATGAGATTTTATCTACGAAAGGCGTTTATACTCAGTCTTACGTCAGTTAAATCAGCTGCATTTCATGAAGTAGAATTCTTAAGGCTTTGTTATGCATAGCTGTCAACCCCGCTTCTCCAAGTTTTGTCTCTTTTTAAGCATAAGGGTAGTTTGCCTCAATATAATATGAATTTACGCGATGACTATCGTATATCCACTCACAGTTTGAGCTACCAGGGCGGAGTGGCCCCTCAGAAGAAGAAGCTATACCACGATCAGCGAACATGCGTTAACTGACAATTGGTCTAACTATTTATCATTTTGCCGATAGCAAAATGAAGCAAAGTATATAACATTAAACGCTAGGTTCAAAAGCTATGTTTCTGTTAGTTATGTGCGAAGTTTTTTAAGCGATGTTATTTTATCCTCATGAGTTATATCTGCTAACTTCATGTACCAACCATGCGGTAAAACTTCATGACGTCACTGCATTAGTCGTATGTTCCTATAAAAACCAGGGTGTGAGGTTGGTCCCCAGTGTGCGAAGTTTTCTTTTTCAAAAGTTTATTTCCTTCAACGTTTTTTTTTGGTATTTTCTACAAATTTACCGAGAATTTTTTTGCTTTTGACTGCCATGTGCAGCTTTGCCTCTCTGTAATAATGAAACTTATGCGTAGACAGTCGCTGAATAGTTAAGTAACATGCTCTAGATCTATAGGTCGTTTTAAATCTCCGAGAATGTAGAAATTATATATCTTTCAGATTCTCTTTCCTTGTTGATTCATCAGTAGACATTTTTTTCTTGTTTGCCTTGTTTTGAACCGGTGCTTTCAAATATCAAATTTTCTGATGATAATGGGCCGTAATCTGGTTTGACTTGTTTAAAGCAGTCAAAAGAGTTCTATTTAGTGTTCAATAATTACAATCAATTTTTTGTTGTATCTTTATTCGCAGGTGAATAATTGTGATTTTTTAGTTTATTCAAATGGAGCCGGCAAAAATTTGATCAGCTTGAGGGGAACTATTCCTGTCAAGTATCAGGGTGTTCAATACAACATCCCAATAAATGTCCACTTGCCTGAAGTGTTTCCAAACCAGCCTCCCATTATCCATGTGACACCCACGATTGATATGGTTGTGAAACCCACGAACATTGTGGACTCAAATGGACTGGTGACGCCACAGTATATGACTGGTTGGCGGAGCAAGTCCCATAAGTTGCCCCAGTGCCTTCATCAGGTTGTTTCCGAGTTCGGAAAGAACCCACCGGTGATTGCAAAGCCACCGCAGATGCAGGTTCCCCCGCCAGGAGCGTGTAAGTTCATGAGAAAAAACTTGCGATACATTCAGAAATACAATTTACTGTAAACAAACAAAACACAGAATAAACTTGCATTTTTTTAAATTTAAAAGTATCAAAAAGAAATCAGCGTTTGTTTTAGCTAGCTTGAGGGTTAATGATCTGTTTTACATGACAATTATTTTCATGATTACATGCAGTGTGAAATTGTGTAATTCTTTCAGATGGGACGAACCCACCCCCTTATAATCCCGCTGGTGTGCCCATGGGCCAAGCTCCTCCGAACGAAATGTACCCGCAGCTGAACCCGCCGCCTCCTGTCTACGCACAGCCACCGGCTGAACAGGAGAACCCACTCCCAGAAAAGAAATGAATGGCATTGCAAAATGTTCGAAAAGCCTGTAAATAATCCAATAAACAAAATATTGCTTGAGTTCAGTGCTCTCAAAGGCTGCCCTTTAGATCATTTAACGCTTTAACTTCTTGTGACATATTTTTATACTACTTAGTATATTTTCTATTTGTCCTAATTGGACTCACATGTACAAAATTGTTTCTATTCGAATGTCCATATTAAAAAATTTGTAAATAAACTATCGGAATAAAACAAACGAATGTTAATTCAGTGTTAACAGCGTATTCTTCCTTTTTCAGGTGCACATCACCACTTGTTCTATTCTTTCCATAGTAAAGGAAAAAGTCATGCTGTCAATTTTGCAAGTTCTGATTTGCTATAATGTATGTTCCGAATTTTTCAGATTACAATGAGGACCACACCGAAGTCATATCTAGCAAAGGTAGCGATCCATTCAACTTCAACATTACTACAACAAGGATATGATAATCATGAACTAGGCTTTTTTCCTTAAAGAACTTTGTTAACAAGAAGTCGCCCGTGAGTTACGTGCTTCATGAATTTGCTCGACTTGCTGAAAAATTTTTCAATGTTTCGAGAAGGGGGCGTAAAAGCTTAACGTTTCAAAACTTCTCTAGCTGAAAAGTTTTAAGACAATATGTTCGGCACTATGTTATTCTACCCAGGTATTGTCTGCTTAGTTACCGCTGGATAAGTTGTTTTAACAGCAGGTTTTTTCGACAGATTTTTCTAAAATTGAACTTCACTAGAGACAAACGTGTTAAAAAAATTATTGACGTTTTTGTCATTTTTTTCGGCTAGCCTCCGTGCTTTTTTTCCGTGCTGTTGTTGCATGGCAAGTGATGCCAAGCTCCGGTTCGCCTCGGTTAATAGATATTTCAAAGCTGTAGGGTTTTCTTTTTGATCTATGTTCCTTTGTTTTAGTATTCGTGTAAAAATGATGTGGAAAAACAAGCTAATCAGGTGCTTTCAATATACAGTGGGCTCAACGTCACCTGCGAAAAATTCTGTGAGCGCAACTTTTATCACATGATTCAAATAATCAGAAATTAACCCTTGAACGAAATTACCATGTGCGGTGTAGATAAAGTTGGCCCTATTGAAGTTTATCTCGAATTTAAATCCTAAGGGCTACCATGTCGACTGTCTGATAGCGTCACTACGCGTTGAAGTGCGGATTTTGAAATGATTTTCGAACTAGTACGTCCTCATTCAGAACCGCTGGCTCTTTTTGATAAAATATAAGAGCCTATTAACAAAAAATGCTGTGGGCCTATGATTTTCTGGGAAGGTGGAGAAAGCTGTTATTGTATTTAAAATCAATAAGGTAACTCTATGGCTGTTTTGGTTCCTTTGTAAATTTAACATGAAACCTGGTACCTAAAAGATCGTTCTGTTTGATTTGGAAATCTAACATAAATCTATTTTTTTGTTGCAGACTATGCAGACGGTACCAGCAAAGATCTGATATGCTTAAAAGGAACAATCCCTATCAAGTTCAAAGGTGCCACGTACAACATACCAATCGCTATGCATCTGCCAGAAGTATTCCCCAACAACCCTCCAATCGTGTATGTAACTCCAACCAGTACTATGGCAGTGAAGCCTTCTCAAATCGTGGACACCAATGGATTGGTGAGAATACCATTTCTCGCACAGTGGAAAAGCAGAACCCACTCTTTGCCGCAGTTAATACATCTGATGGTACAGGAGTTTGGAAAAAGTCCACCAGTGTTTTCGAAGCCACCGGCTGGTGCACAAAGGCCACAGGCACAACCACAGTATCCGGGTTACCCTCCGACTCATTACGGACAGCAGCCGAACCCTTATGGAGGAGCTAGTTAGTGAAGAAGACGTTTTCATGATCTTCGACCTATTCGTTTTCTTTAAGTTGAAGGCGTATTGATTTTTTAGAGATATAAATATTGAAATAAATTTGAACGACCTTCAAGATTTTGAAATTTCTTGAATTGAGAATCTTGACTTAATGAAATGTGAGGTCAAAGTTGAAAAATGAAATGATTACTCTTCAGATGGATACGGCCAACAAACGACGCCCTACCCTGTGGGAGGAATGGACCCTACGAGACCCCCGCACCAACAGCCTCCTGCGTATCCTCCCCCGTACAACCCTGCTAGTGGGGCTAACGCAGCCAATCTGCCCTATCCTAATATGACACCTCCGTCCTACTCGTACGCTCCCACTGGTCAACCGCAACAACAGCCTCCAATGTCGCAGCATCAACCTCCTGTATCTAATGCCTCTATGGCCAGTCAGAACGTAAGTTCTTTCAATGGAATTTGACTTTTCACCAAATTAAGAATTAAGCTTCACGAAACCCCTTTGTAACCTTCGTTACATAAATTCCTTTTAATAATAATAATAACCGACATGTTTCTAGCGAACTTGCACTACTTTTTTTGAAAAATCTTTGCGAAACATTGGGAAAGAGGATTTAGTAATCAACGTTTTGATGAGTTTTGAAATTGGATCTTTTCTCAAGTAACACTAGACTTCGTTCATAGATTTACGTTAAGATGATTGTTTATTTGTTGTGCTGTATATGTGTAGAGTTATGGATCTTCGGCGGGTGGGGTGCAGCAGATGGACCCGATCAAGGCCTCCCTGCTGACAGCCATCACAGAGAGTCTCTCTCGCAGGATACAGAGTGCGCAAGAAATGGCACAGGTACTGCTGGTCACTAATTTCAAATCTGTTACTGACCTTAAAATTGCAGAGCTTGCATGTTTTGAAACCAGCTGTTTTAAAACCGTTTCAAACCACTGTTTTCAAACTAGCGGGCTTGCGAGCGTGAGGGTATTAGTTAGGGTATTAGTAAACCTTCATTTTTTTCTAAACTAACTCGCAAATTAAAACGTTCATTGAAAGTGTTAACTTGAGGAAATTTCACTGTAGCATTGGAAATTGCATAGATCTGTTCTCTGTTTTATTTTTTGGCTAATGTTCGTCAATAATAAAGCGTCCGTGGCTGAATGTTTCGTGCGTTAGAATATTAATCTCTAGGTCACAGTAGGTTTGAATCTGAGACATGGCCGAATTTTTATTAATTCGATACCTGTTTCTACTTTTTCCTGTTGGGCTTTATACAGCTGTTTTTTGTCGTGTTCTGGCTGGTGTTTGTGAAGCGCTCTGTGAAAAATTGCTTAAAATAATTCAGTTTTTGCTGGTTGTTTTTACAATAGCAAGCTTGCGAGCGTTAGCATATTAGAACGAGTCTTTTTTTTCTTACCTAGCTCGCAAATAAAAGTGTTCACTATTTGGTGGCAAAGTGTTCATTATTTGGTGGCACTTTTGCTATAATCAAGATCTGTAGCATTGGAAATTTCAAAGCATCTGTTCTCTGCTTTATTGGAGGCTAGTGTTTGTGGCTGAGTGGTTAGTGCGTGAGTCTCACATTCTCTATGTCGCCGTATGTCGCAGATCGAATCCGAAACTTAGCCGATTTTTTTTTTTACTAATTCGAGGCTTATTTCTTCCTTTTATTGCTTTTTATGGAGCTGATTTTTGTCGTTATCTTGCTAGTGTTTGCGAAGCACAGCTTCGCTCCTGGGTAATACTTGTAAATGCTATAAAAATTCAATCAAGTGAGCAAACGGTTGTAAACTATAGGATAATATCATATTAACATGCAGTAAAATAAAGGTTAAACATTGCTGGTCTGCTAGCACAGACTCTTCCACCTTGAGTATTTTTGTTTCGGCCGACTCACTAGCGGCGAAATTATCTGAGTTATTACAGACCACTTTGTATCGAATCTTCGAGCCTTCATCGACATTTTCTTCTGGAATACAAATCGCGATCGAAGGGCTATAAAATCGAGCCTTCATCGACATTTTCTTCTGGAATACAAATCGCGATCGAAGGGCTTTAGTATTTACGTTTAAGTTTAAATTTACCTGCTACATTATAACATTGAGTAAATACTTTCATAAATGCTTTAAAGGCAACCTAAAGACAATTTCATCTTATTTGGTGGGTGACATCGAGAGCCTAAAGAGCAGAATCATTGAAACGTAAAGTGGGCATCAGTTAAAGAGCAGTTTGAATAAATATTCATCAAAAGGATAATTTTCCAAAAAATAATCGTCAGAAGGTTTGATTTCTTTCTCAGCTAATATAAAGAATGTTTGATCAATTTAGTTTTTTGACGGAAAATTAAGAAGGGAGAATTTCATGGCATTTGATTTTTAGCCTACTTTTTAATTAAGCTTTTGTGTCTCTGCGGGTCTGAGGAAGTCTTTGTTCAGAAAACTTTTTTGTTGTTAGTCATCAGTTTTTTTTGTTTCAAAATTTTGTTCAAATTAAATAGATGTTATACGTTATTGAATCGAGATGTGATTTCAAGTTATTTCCGTAAATAAGAATACCATACTGTATTATGAATTGTGCATATGATTTGTGAAACATCAGAAGACTTTGGTTTAAAAAACTTTGCGACATTTGAACACAGTTCCGCAAAGAGGACAGTCAGTTTTTTTAACAACTCCGTAAATATGTTGCTTGCTATATATATTTAGTGATAGCCTTATCAAAAAGCATTTACAATTTTCACGTTTTTACCGAAATTCATTAAAATCTAATTTCCTACGTTTGAATTTCTTTTTCGGATAAAGTTGTTCTGTTAAAAAGCATAATATCGTATCATCCGCGTATCAAACTGTACAGTTTTTTACAAGCTAAAGAGAGATTGTTTATGAATTTGAGAAATCGTAGAGGTGCTGGTACTGAACCTCGCGGAATACCACTTGGATTTTTCTTCATCAATAGCAACAAACAGTTTACGGTCTGCTAAATAGCTTTCGAGAAGTCTCGTAATTCAACTCCTTATTCTTTGTTTCTACTTCTTCCATTAGAGTATGAGCTACTTATAGTTTGTTGTGTTAAATGCCTTCTTAAAATCAATTCGATAGAAATGGTTCCCTCAAAAAGTCGTTTCTCAATAATTAAACGAATGAGCTCGTTTAGCTCTATTAGCGCATCACTGCACTGCAACTTTTTCTTAGTTGAAAACGTATTGTCCCTGTCAAAGGATATAAAAAATTTTAGTGTATGATACCGTTGATCCACTGCAGAGGTTTTCGGGTGCCAAAAATTGTGAGGAAAAAGTCCAGCATAATCCTAATTTCGTTCTCTTTGTGATGTGGTCGGAACAAAAAGCAACACAGAATTATGTTCTTGCCATCTAGATTTAATTGCTAAACCCCTGCACCTGAGTACGCAACCATGTGTATCATATTGCTCTGTACTTGAGTTTGTCATCATAAATGTTTGTTTCCCATTGTCGCAATCGTTCTGAGAAGTTTGTCTTCGAATTGTCGCAACCGTTCTGCATTTATGATACAGTTAAGTCGAATATATATATTGATTCTGAAGATATTGTTTGAAAGATAACCTTTTTGTTACGCAGTTCTCGATAAACCCAAACTTCATTGCAATGCAGGTATTTTCAAAAAGGCTATAATACATTTTTGCAAGCAGTTGTAGCTTTTTGGCCACCCTGTTTTAGTTTGAACCTGTAGCGATCTCAGGGTAAAACATTTTTTGTTCAATACTTTTGTATACTTTAGACGCCTTTTACTCTTTTATTTCTGAAATATTGGTGTAATTTATCCATCGTAGAAAAATCAGGAAGTTAATAAACGATCAAGGCTATACTTGTTAACCGAACCAAATGTTAGCTACTGTGATTTTGTTGTCTAGAGGGATCTAGATGCACTGACATCGGTGGGTGTGCAACTGAAGTCCAACAGAAATCATCTGGAGTCTACTGTGGGTCAGCTGGAGCAGCAGATAGCAGTGGCCAACTCACATGTGGATCTGTTGCAGCAGAAGAAGACAGAATTGGAGACGGCTCTGCAGCAAGTGCAGATGAAGAGTGAAGTGGCAGATATTGATGATTGCATCACGCCATCTTGTCCACTTTACAAACAGTAAGATTTGTTCGCTCATCTTAAAGTTGAAATTTGCACACTGCTCAACACATATAAAGTGTGAACAGAGTGTAGTACTGTTGGTGTTTTTAAGAGGCGATGAACGTATTTTAGAATCTTATATAGGTCGCGATTTTTTTCTCGCTTTTATTGGTTCAGGCTCAAGTTTACTGTTGCGGTTTGACTTTTGATTTTTTTCAAGTTCAGTTCTTTTCTTTTGTTAAAAGAAAGACGAACTCCACTATCGAACAGCGAAAGTGTAAGGTTCACGAAAAAGGTGATCGACTTTTAATTTTGAACGTGGAATTTAATTGTCGAATTCCCCAGCGAAATATAATTTTGGATCCATTTTTTTCATACTGAGTTAGTTTTATCAAAAAAGAGTCAATCATAGAGTGTTTACACTTGCGATCAGCTTAGTCTGTTATTACAAACATTCTTTTTTTTCTAACCTAACTTGCAAATAAAAGTCTTCATTAAAAGTGTTCTTATTTTGAAATTTCAATGTAGCATTGGAAATTGCATAGCATCTGTTCACTGCTTAATATGTGGCTAGTGTTTGGTACCTATTAAGCTTCCGTGGCTGAGTGGTTAGTGTCTTAATTTCTAGGTCGCAGATTCGAATCTCAGAGGCTGCAGAATTTTTTCTACTTATACGAGGCTTACTTCTACTTATTCTTATTGCACTTAACCTAATTTTTGAAACTTTTTTTGAGAATTTTGTTGAGCTGTGTCAGAGATTTTTTTTATATAACTTCCATATGAATCAGCTCGGTGGTTTTGGTGTAATTTTTGATTATCTAAAAAACCAAAATGACCCATTTTTGAGGCAAAATTTTGTTTGCAAATTTCGAAAAATATATAGCGCCATTTCAATTCTGGTGAATTTGACAGCAATTTTCGTTCTCATCATTTTTAGTCTAATCTAAACCCAATTTGAGAAAAATGTTTAAATTTTCCATTGTTGTTCGTTGTGTCCGGTTAATTTAACTCAGCACTGTGTAGCCCTTGCTCCCGGTTCTTAGCTATTGATCGTCGATTATGAATAATTTCAAAACACCGGTTGTTCCTCTCTCATGATAAATTTGGAATAAGTGATAAAACTTTTTCTTTATTCATTCTTGATGAGAAATTTAACTTGACTGAAGTCTCGTAAATTGCCCGCCAAGTGAGTGCAATCTGGATGCATTTCATCTACTATTGCTAGATTTAAATGGCCTTTGTCTTTGACTTTCCTACATTTTGAACACTTTTCCGAAAAATAAATGTGAATTGTCGGTAATTTTGCGGGCGAAGATTTCTCTGAAAGATACGTGACATATAAACAGAATTGGGTTTTGAATCATGCTGAATCTTAGCGTGGAAGTTGTGGTTTCTTTGCTCCTTGTAATAGTTGTACAATTTGTGCAGACTCCTGAATCTGTATGCGGAGGAGTGTGCGATAGAGGACACTACATACTACTTGGACAAGGCCCTCATGGACAGTGTCGTGGACCTGGAAACATACTTGAAGGTAACCAACCAACTCATGCCTTGTCGCCACATTGTTTGGCCTTTTCATGTAGTAGGGGTGAAACTCTAGTAGCTACTAATATTTTTTATAATGATGGATGAATAGTGTGTGGGTGATTCCAGCTAAAACTTAACGAATACAGTTTTAGTGTTCAGTTGTTGAAACCATAAATGGCCACAATGAATTACGCATATGTGAAAAGAATCTGATAGGATCATCAATGAACTGGTTTCAAAAAATATTAGCTTGATCATCCATGGACATATTAGGTTACACAAGACCATTTATCCACAAGGGTAAGTACCGACATACGAGATGCTTAGCTACTCGGATGGCGGCTTTTCGGTCCACGGTTTAGATATACATTCAGTTTTGGGTCTTTTGGGCTACATAACGTGGCTTCACCGAGTTGCTACAACGAGCACGGACACGGATTATGGTGGGTATTTTCAACGACGGAGACCTTGAAAGGCGGAGACCTTTTCAACTTAGCCATCGATCTCTTGGTAATTTGAGAGTGAGTAATAATTCTTCTTCATTTCAGAACGTGCGTGCCCTGTCGAGGAAACAATTTATGGTGAGAGCGCAAATGCAGAAAGCGAGACAAGTGGCAGGACTCAGAAACATCACTCCCCACTAGTCACCTATTCCTAACAGTCACGCAAACACAAACGATAGAACTGGTTTTAAATCAAAAATCCCCAGTCCATATTTACATCAATTGTTAGATAGAATTAGAGGAAGATACATGTCCGATGACAATAGTTTGATTAGACTTCGATTTGATGACAGACGCAATTTGGTTCTTTGATACTGACGTGATCAATTTTAAGTTTAACTAAATGCAGAAGGACGGCCATCACTTCTTTTTGATTCAGTAGGTGAAGGCAGTTACAAATTAAGTGACAATTGAAAATAAGACGGAGTAAAACAACTAGGCTTTCAGAGACTTATAATACGGCCATCCTGCAACATTTCTCAAAAGTGATTAGCAAATAGTCGCCCATTTTCATGTATCATTCAGTATAGATGTTTTGACATTATATTCCATTGAAATAAATAATGATAGAATCTGTCCATATGCATTTAATTTATTTCCGGAAGCATTGTTTTCAACGCTGAATTTCTTAGTTCCAGTTTTCAATCTGAATTTTCATACAATACATTAAAAAATATATGAAAGCAGTTAAAGTATTTTTTTACTATGAAATGAAACATCGCAATCGGTACAATCTGGCATGGCATTAAGAATCGCTATAGAAACTACGTCGTCCCAATCAGCTCATGCTATGCAATTTCTTGGAAGGCCAATGAATCAGGCTCGAGGACCATCGAAAATATTCAGGAAAAGCTTCAAAGTGGATTCTTGGATTTAAAAGTTTGGATTATAGAGAAGTTAAAAAGACTTTACTTTTACCGCTATCCTTATACCATGAAATGCATGTTCTTTTAATGATGGTCAATATAATCAAAAGCAGATACAACATCGAGTGCAAGTCTTCCGTTCAAACCAAATGCAAATCGGAACAAACCATGAGAGCGTAAGAAATGATTTTTTTTAAAACACGAAATTCGTCAAAGCAAAAACAGTAAAACGATTTCTGGACAAGAGGTACATTCTTAGCCAATGCAATCGGAAAAAAATTGTGTTCAACCTTGACGAATATAATCGCTGAAGTGAACAAAAACTATTTTATGAACAAATATTATCTCGATGACATTTGCTCATGGAGACTGTCATGCTTGTCAAAAGTGCAGAAATCAACATGAACTTAAGAAAAACTGGAATTTGGGAACAACTCCCTTGGGTGCTACCCAAAATTCCGTTTTATGATTATTTTTATATGGCGTAGATCTTAAGACAAACAATCTATCCTTCTAGAGGATCGATGTTTGAATCCTGTTGTCTGTTATTTTTTAAGTTCTTTTTTTTTTCAGAGTTATTTTTAAGCTTGCGTTTAGCAAGCGTTATCAATTCGGAATATAATTATTTTTCGGGTTAAAACTAGTTCAACAGATTCAATCGAGTCTTTTACTTTTGTTTCATATGAAACCAGAAGTCAGACGTTAATTCGCGCATTTGGAGAAGAGCTAATGCACTTGCTTATAAGGACACATGTCAATGTTGGAATCCGGCCAGGACCTGTTTTTGGACTAGTAATTGACTTCCAAGAAATTTTGCCTATTTCTTACTATTTTGTTGATTGTTTTCCGTGCTGTTCAATGAAAATTTGTTGACATTTTTTTAAAATACAAGGAGTGTTCTGTGCATTCGGTGCAGTGTTAACACCCTTGCATGAGACGACAAATCTTAAAAAAATTGTTTTCAGTCGTGACCTTTTTGTGGAAACCGAAAGTTTTAGTCTTTGTGACTGCTAATTTTTGTCGGCTTAGGTTCCGCAGAAAAGTTCGGTGTCTTCTAACCATTTTAAAATTTTTGGATCTCTTTCGTTTTCCAATAATCATCGTCATTCTTTTGGGTATCACTAGTGATGCTTAACTCAGCTTCGCCTCTTTGCGATAATCATAATTATTAATTGTTTTCATATAATAGTTTATTGTATGGATATTTGTCAATTTTCATAATTCTGATACACAGGGCAGGGCCATCAAAAGGCCTGAGGTTTTAACTATTAGTTACTTTAAGTTGTCCAAACCCCACAAACCACTCTTAGAAAAAAGATTTGTCGTTTTCTCTATTATTTATGATGTATAAATCATGAAAACCATGAAATTAATTACTAATTGAGTACCATTAATTGCAATATATCCGTATCAGCTAAATCCACAAAACAAAATTGATTTTTTTTTCTACTCCGTACACTTATTTTTTTAAAGAATTTTGCTAGGGAAATTGTTCGTTGGTTTGATTTTTTACTCTGGCTGGAAATTGATTTTTTAAAGAGTAGTTTTCATTGCTTTATGTAAAAGTTTAACCAATGTTTTGAATAGCTCAAATATGTTCACTTTTTTTCTTGAGCATATCTTGAAGATTTAAAAATATGTACCAGACTGATATCTTTGTTTTCTTAAGAACGGTTTTGTTTCATTTCAAGTTTTTTTAGTGATGTTCTGTTAGCCGTGCTGTTTACTACAATTTGACATTGCAGTATTGGCTGAATGTGAATGAAATAGGTGTTAAATATTTGTGCTGCTGCTCTATTTTTACAGAAGAATTTATGATTCTCAGAAATATCAAATTTTTGGCTTGTTGACCTTTTTTTGAACTTTTCTCGCTAACTATCCTGCAAATTCTGATATCATAGATTAAATCGGAACAACAGGTTGTTGGAAGCCTACCTTTAAAACTGCCTATGCCCAATTTGTTCAAGGAAAAATTATGGCCTTGAAACAAGTCGAAGTTTTGAAGCTTTGGCAGTTTATTTGCAAACTTTTTTTAACGAGAAAACTTCCATGCCAATTCTCAGGTTGTGTTAAATCAAGAAAACCAGTTTTGGTAATCTTCTGTGCTTAAGCGGCCACAACCTGGTTCAGCAAAAAATTATGGATTTTGGAAATCGTTTTGACCGTTTTCTTGAAACTTTTTGAATTTTCTTAAAATTTATAAAATCAAATCTGAGATGAAAAATTCAACTAAAAGAATAGGTTGCGATAATGGTTCCTGCAGAAGCCCCGGCTCCTTAGTTTTTGTATGAGAAAGGTTGGCTTCTTAGGGAAAATGATCATCTCAATGTTTTTTTACCCTTCTAACTTATTTTTGAAATCACATTTTTGGTGCCGCATTAGTATAGCAAATTCATTTAATATCAAACACATACCTGCAGCTTTGCTGGACCCCTAGTTTTTTTGTTTCGCTTAAAAAATTCCTTGACCCAAATTTTTTCGGCTTATTTTTTATCGGCTTAAAATCTAGTTTTGAGTCCTCTCAAGGGAAACACAATTGGAACACTCCCCTCCGCACTTTTCTGTGTTAAAAAGTCCCAGCAACGAGAAACACAGGTGAGGAAATAGTTCTCGTAAATTGGTGCTTAGCGAAAGACATCAAATGCAGTGTGTGTCAAAATTGGATATCATTGTTTGGCTAGTGTTGGCCAATTCGAATTCCGCAAATGGTAATTTCTTAATGTTCGAAGATTGTCCTCTCCTTTCACGCATAAAAACCGCCACAGACTGTCAGATAGTTTGCTTAGTAATATATTGTCAAATATGACTAGTTTTTAAAAACGACTGGTTTTCAACAGTGACTGGATGTTAGCTTGGAGTTCCTATGTTACTGTAATAGGTTGCTGTTGAATCAAATATTCAACAGTCTCGCCCCTTATAGATTCTGTGAATGGCTCTTCAGTTTATCTGACTAGGAGGGGAGCTCTTTTGCCTTGAAGAGCCTGCATTTCATGGTGCGAGCGTCATCATCACCAGACTTGTTAACGGGCCGCCATAATTGAGGCCCGGCCCGGCCCGATATAATTCAAGTCGAGCCCGTTGGCGGCCCAATAAACAGGGAATTTATTAAATATCGGCCCGTTGGGGCCCGTTGCTGCTTTTTTGGTAAAAAACAAATTTGTTTCAAAACAATTTTAATTAATTGTTTTACTTATTTATAAAGACCTTTTTTATAAGTCATGGAAACCATTTCAATTGCTTCAACGGTTGTAGGCGAAAATTTTGCCCGTCTTTCCGATACCGTCAGACCGCAATCAGAGTAAAGCCTCTCCGACTGCCCGGAACTGGCCTGCGTTCCAAGCACCTTTCGCGCAACTCTGGACAACATTGGTTAGTCAATAAAAGTAAGGCCCGTTGACAAAAGTGAAAACCCCGGCCCGGCCCGTTGAGGCCCACGGGCGGCCCGGCCCGTTGACAAGTATGATCATCACTATTTTTAGAGACAATTTTACTCAGGACTTTTTTGTGTGTCGGTTTTTTCTACAGTGTACGTGAATTCATTGAAGTTCATTTTTTCTGCAGTTAAATACACTTCTAAATTTTGTAGCCTAATCTGAAAAGTAAAAAAATGTATATTTGTTGAGCAATAACCACTATTGAAAATTGAAGATAGATAGTATCAGTATCTGGCTTGACACTGGAACTCATTATCTTCACTCCTTATTAGTGGTTTTTGCTCAATTTCTTCCAAAACCGTCCAAAAAGGATTTCTTTTGGCTCTATTTCTCACAATGTTTAATAGCGTTCTTAGAAGAAAACCCAACCCTCTAAACATTACTGCAGATTAAAGTGGTTAAATTTTTCTTTTTAAATCAGTCACGAAAGGATTTTAGTATAGCGAAAGTACAGCTGTATATGAAAATTTTAAGTTTTTTTCCATACTTTGTTCAATTTTGTTAAAGCGATCAGCAAAATCCTGAATAGTTTATCACGACTCACAACAGATAGTGAGTGTTGTGCTAAAGGATCAGTTTTTGTTAAATCACGTTTGCGTTAGTTAAACAGTATATATACTTATATCCGCTTTATAGTTATAACCGCATGTATAGTTATATCCGCTTTAAATTAATGAGTATGTGCAATAGAAATCAAAACCAAGACACCATATAGCTATTTCTTAAACTAGGTGTGCTAGAAGTTCGTCAAAACATGGAGACTTCATTAAATTGAGAAACATTTCCATACAATTTTTTGAAAATCTCTATTCTTGTATGAGAATCAAAAAAGTAATAAATT